ACGTCGCTTCACCCCCACATCTTTGTCCGCAGACAAAGATACGGGGTACATGGAAATTCCCATGATTCCGTTCGGAAAAAGGGGAGGTTTTCCCCCACGTGCGGAGCTAGGTAGTTTGTTTGTTTCATCGCCAGTTTTAGGACTCGACAATTTAACGTACCCGCACGGGTCTGCAACGCTGATGTTTGCTCACCCGTGCTACCTGGGCTAGAGCATCCGCACGGCAAGAAAACCTTTTCTGTGTCCCGTTATGCCGCCACAGTACCCCCTTACCAGTGATAACGATAATTGGGTAAAATTTTTGAGGAACGCGCTGTACATAAAATTTCTTAATACTAATACGCACTTATTCTCAGTTTGTATAAACAATAGTTAGTAGTATTATTGTACTCTCTCTCTCGCTACATATGTATATATGCTACTAGTGATTTATAGAAGCAATGTCTATAGTTACATTAACTTAACAAATCTATTACGCATAAACTAAATATCGCTAGCCATGGTTAGTCGGTTTATTCGGGCTGGAAAATTAATTGAAATGGACTTGTAAACGGTCCGGACGGCGGATTTCCCGACCGGATCGTGTTTTAAGTGAATTTCCACTTTTTTTGCTATGCTCTTGTGAATCCTTATTGATTTCAGGAGCCACAGGAGTTTCTTTTTTATTTTCGTCATCGGCTAGTACGAAAGCTGGCTTTAATCGGTCAATAGAGACAGTCGTGTCCTTACCATTCCAGTCTATTATGAAGGTCTTATTGCCCCGTTGTTTTACTAAGAAGGGCCCCTCATAAGGAGGTTGTAGGGAACCTTTTGCCGCGTCGCGCCTCAAAAATACATACGGTGACGTCGAAAGTTCTTTAAATACAAATGTCCGTTTCGTACCGTGATGTGACGCTGAAGTTGGTATTATGTTTTTTATTCGTCGCCGGAGTTTATTAACGAAGTCTGAATTTCCTTCGTTTCCGGTCGAAACAAAAAATTCACCAGGTAAGCGTAGACCTGCACCAAAAGTCATTTCCGCGGCTGTTGCTCCTAAATCTTCTTTAATGGCTGTGCGTATACCGAGTAATATTATGGGTAAAATTTCGACCCAATCCTCAGTTTCATGGCACTTTATTGCGGCTTTGAGTTGCCTATGCAACCGTTCCACCATGCCGTTAGCCTGAGGATGGTAAGCAGTTGTCCTGAAGTGAGTCGCGCCTACTAAACGAGCTAGTTCGTTAAACAGATTAGACTCAAACTGGCGTCCCTGATCTGTTGTTATTCTCAAGGGAACCCCATAACGATTTCTGCAATTGGGACTGCTTCCGGCCAACGGGAAAACCTGTCTATACATGTTAGACAGTATTTATGCCCTCGAGATACCGGTAAAGGTCCCACGATATCAATATGCACATGTTCAAATCTACTGTTCGGACTTATGTACTTTCCCACTGGACTTACTACGTGTCTTGAGATTTTCGACCGTTGGCATGGGATGCAATTTCGAGCCCACTCTCTACAATCTCTATTGACCGATGGCCATACGAATCGCTCGGTAATTAATTTTAGCGTTGCTCGAATTCCTGGGTGGGACAATCCGTGCAACGAGTCGAAAACGGTTCTCCTTAATGCTACGGGTACATACGTTTTTATTGGCGTCCATACGGAATTATTGGCTACGTCGCAATACAGGTAAACGTTAAATACTGGAAAATGAACTCTCCTAAGTTTTAAGCTCGTTGAATCAGATTTTAAAATTGTACGTAATTCTATATCCTCCTTCTGAGCTGTTTCTAAAGCTTTTGGATCTGGAGCTTGTGTAATCGATTCAATTCTCGATAAAGCATCGGCTACATTATTTTCGATCCCTTTTATGTGTCTAATATCGGTAGTAAATTGTCCGATATAGTCTAGGTGTCGAAATTGGCGAGGAGAACATTTATCTAGGCTTTGGTTGAACGCAAATGTCAAAGGTTTGTGGTCTGTATATATGGAAAAATTTCGTCCTTCAACAGAATGCCTAAAACGTTTAACTGCTGCGTATATGGCCAATAATTCGCGATCATATGCACTGTATTTCCGTTGAGCTGCAGAGAGGGCCTTTGTGAAGAAAACTAATGGTTGCCAATCGTTATTAACTTGCTGTTGTAAAACTGCACCGATCGCATAATCCGACGCGTCTACAGTTATATTCAGAGGTGCGTCGGGCGCGGGGTGGTTCAATAGTGTGGCATGCATTAGGCTAGTTTTAATGGTCGCAAAAGCCTTCTCTGCTGTCTCGTTCCATGACACGGGCGCGCTTCCCTTTTTCGAACCTTTAAGCAGGTCGCTTAGCGGAATCATATGCTTGGCGGCTCCAGGTACAAAACGACGGTAAAAATTTACCATACCTAGGAAACGCCTAAGCTGTTTGATGATTAACGGTTTCGCGAAATTTTGTATTGCCTCTACACGCTCGGCTACAGGCTTAATACCCTCGGAATTTACCGTGTATCCGAGAAATTCTATTTGCCTAACGCCGAACACGCATTTCGCAGGATTTATAACTACTCCGTATTGGTTTAGACGATTAAAAAGAATTTTTAAGTGCTCTAAATGTTCTCCCTCATTGTTTGAGGCTATGAAAAAGTCGTCGATGAATGCGTATACAAAATCTAAACCGCGAATAATTTCATCGACGAATCGCTGACACGTTTGGCTCGAGTTTCGGAGGCCAAACGGAGTAAATAAGAATTCGAATAAACCGAACGGAGTGGTTATAGCCGTTTTTTCGATGTCCGCAGGAGCGACAGGGATTTGGTTATAGGCTCGAATCAGGTCGATTTTGGAGAAAATCTTCTTACCATAAAGCGCGTGCGTGAAGTCTTCAATATGGGGTGGCGAATACCTGTCGGGGACGGTGCGGGCGTTGAGCGCACGGTAGTCACCGCAGGGTCTAATCTTGCCATCCTTCTTCGGCACCAGATGAAGAGGCGCGGCCCAGGGACTTTTCGATGGCCGAACAATCCCTTGACGGAGCATCAGGTCGATATCTGCTCTAGCTGCTTGGAGACGATCCGGCGCTAGCCGACGGGGTTTGCTGAAAGTCGGGGGTCCAGGCGTCGTCTTGATGTGGTGCTCCACGTAGTGCTTTACAAGCTCCCGCTTAAATACAGCAGGTCTCGTCAGATCAGGATATTCGGCGAGAAGCTGCTGATACATGGAGTCTCCGTACGTCGTCTTCACTGACGCGATATTTCCACTGACCGACCGACTAATCACGAAGAGGGTAGTTGTCGCATCCATTAACCGCCGATTGCGAGGGTCGACGAGTAAATTATAATGCGACAAAAAGTCCATTCCGATGATTGGTATATCCACGTCGGCAATGATGAACCGCCAAGCAAAATCGCGACGAAGTGAAAGGTTCAGATTCACTGCCAAAGACCCATACGTACTTATCGGGGAGCCGTTTGCCGCGAAAAGAGAATACTCGCTCTTTTTCGCTTGTCTTCCTACCTTTTCCCGGGGGTAAACGCAGACGTCGGCACCCGTGTCCACTAGAAATTGGACTTTCGTCGCCTTGTCCGTCACAAAAATGCGGCCAGTTCGAGTATCGCCGCAGTCGGCCGCGTTGACTGACGGTCCGGTTAGTTTTCCGGCGTCTTCGGCTGGTTCCAGGCGCACGGAGTTACGCATCGTGTTGCCTTCTCTGCGTGCCTGAAGTGGTACCAGCACAACCGTTTTGTTCGGTCGCGGACTGGGCTGCGCGACTTGCTTCGGGCGCGCGAACTCGATCTCCTGGTTCGTTGAGGCTGTCGCGATTCCCTCATGATCGCGTTCATTTGCAATCTCATTTCCTTCATTTCGGCACACAGCTGCTCGATAACGCGCGTCTCTGCAGGAATGGCCGCTACATAACCGTGCGGGCCCGAAATGTCGTGCACCCGTTCGGCGATTTCGGCTAACGTTTCCCCTTTTGTATCGGAGGTCGCAGCCAGCACCAACTGTGTCTTCTCCGGAAGGCGGCTCTTGTATAACTCTACGAGGAATTCCTCTGACACTTCCTTGCCTGCCAGTTTCTTCAGGTGCCTCCAAAATTGCGTTGGAGTCCTATCGCCGACTTCTTCTTTCTCCAACAACCGGCGTACGCAGACCGTCCTCGAGTCGGAGAGCCGTTTGATTAGCTCTGTTTTTAGAACTTCATACTTCCTTTCTGCCGCAGGGTTGCACACAATGTCTTCCACTTCCTCGATGTACTTCGCGTCCAAATTGGCCACGACATGCGCGAATTTCGTATCATCTTTCGTGATTCGCGCCACCTGGAACTGCGCTTCCACTTGCATAAACCAGAGAGCCACTTTGTCGTGCCAAAATTTCGGTATAGTAACAGACGCACATGAGTCTTTCCCAAATTCCATTGCTGAATCTGTAGCCATCGTACCGTAAAAAAATACTGGATGTACCGCACAATGCAATAGAGATCACACAACTTTGATCAGTCTCACACTGACTACCACGTTCTCCGCGCACAATATCACGTCGGGGTCACCAATGTGGGTAGTAGGGTGTTCCGTCGTGGAACAAGGAGCCCTTCGGGATACCGAGGACCGCGGCACGTCGATGCACGGTTCTGGTTTATGACACGGGCGCAAACACGATCGAGCGTTCGGGACAGTTGATCCGGGGCCCGGCTTCGGCCATTGTGCAAGTCAGCCT